TGGATCAGCATCTGTTTCTCAGTTAAAATGATGTACGTAAAATCACGTAAACCTAAAAAAAGCCTAAGAGGAGCTAATAAAAATATTAGAATTAATTACATGTATAAGCCTGAGAGGAAATGTGTTATTGAAAGTCAACTGATGGTGCATAAGAAGAACTGCCGGTTTTAAGAAGGGAGCTAATGGATTATATGTGATAGGAAACTTCTTGATGAGTGAAAACAGATTAAACTCTGTGAATAAAAATGTTCCAAGAAACTGTGATAATCTGTAATAGGGTTGGAATAATACTCATGCTGGCCTACAGTTCAGCCCTAATTCTTATGATTGTCTGATATGTCCACAATCTTGCAATTAATCCATCATTGTCACAAGTGTCAGGAATATAACATACTCCTAAAATAAGCAAATTAAACTTCTAAGACAAACTCATCTTCTTACGGCAGGTAATTTTGGGAAGATAATTCATGCACAGAGCATATTTTACTGCGGGTGATCAGCACTACTACTACAACTCATCTAAACCTATTACCACAATAAAATAAAATAGCTTTTTCTGATCTCTCTAGTATTTGTGTTCCACCTCTGGATTTCCAGCCATTTCAACATTAGTGTGGAAGGATACACATAAGCTTAGCCAAGTTTTCACACTGCTGCTTCACAACACAGAGAACTATTCAATTACTGTGTTTCTCGTTGAAAACTCCATCAGTCTTGCCGAAAGAAGTGGAAATGGAAATAATAGCCATTTTTTGTGCATGGTATTTAAGAGAGTTGTACACTGGTGCCCTCTATACACACTCTAGAGAACTGCATTACTTTGGTTTGGTTTACAATAAACTAGAAAATGGTTTGTGATAGATTTAAATAATTAAACAGTACTTCAAGAGCTTAATGAAATTAATAAACCATTGCAATGACAAAGAGTTATAGTTTGTGAGATTTTAAAATTGCAGAAAATGCTATTTTCCCTGAGTAGAAGCATCATTGATTCAGTATTATTACCACCAACAATTCACAGCCTTTTCTACAAATGTCCTATTTTCCCTAAAAAGAAGTGCCCTCCTTTCTAATAATATCTTCTTAATGAAAGTTATTTTATTTAGAAATTGACAAATTCAGGAATCTACTTTTTTAAAAAATTAGGTAAACCATATTTTTTAAGCCTTGGACCTGCATAGGGAGCAGGAGCACAATCCTGCCTTGGCTGCCAAACCCTTCAGAGGAGAAACTGCCATTACCAATTGGCTGTAGGACACCAGTGAAGTAAAGAGGATGTGAGAGGATGAGGGTGGGACTGTAACTGTTTGGGAGGGCAGAAGATTATACAGTAGAAATAAAAAAGTGACTTACAGTTTAACCAATGCGCGTGGAGTTGACTTTAAACCGCCTTGCTCTCAGCAGTGGCTGTGACTTACTGGCCAGGGGACGAGGACCTAGCAAAATCAAACACTGTGTGTCAGATATTAAAACAAAAAAGTGCATGTTTTTAAAAAAACTCCATAGCTGATGGGAGGTGAATCAACCAATCAGTCAAGCCATGTTTAAAAAAGAACTCCAGCTCTCCATTTCACCAGCAAGTCCCCTCTACGCTCCATATGCTTCACACTATAGCACAGACCCAAATATGTTGTCTAGCTGCCTCATCTTCTTGTATGACAGCAGGATTACACTACACATCATGGCAAGATGCACTCACTGCTGTATTCTGACACCTTTTAAAGTGATGTTTGTTGTTGGAAAATCGTGCAGAGGCATAAGTGTTAGATGAGGAGCCTAAATGGAGCCCCACTGTTTCTTTGTGTGCTCCCCCAGCTAACTGCACTGCTGACAGACAGCACTATTAAGCAGTCATTAGCACCACGTCTGAAAGCTTGGCTTCGGCTGATTATAACAGGCTATTCAATATTTTGAGCCTTTGTAAGAAAGAGGGCGCCTAAATGAGAATAACGAGGTCATTCTATGACATGCCTGAGGATATGAAACCATGGGTAACTTTTTAGCCTGTTTGATATGTGAACACATTACATTTGACTGTGACAGATTATTTCTAGCCTTCAAAACCACAAAGCGTCTTCCATGAAATCCCACCGTACAACATCAGCACCAAGCGGTAATCAAAACACTGCTGTCACTGTAAAGCACAGCCTTCAAAATAATTCTGTGTAACCCAATTGAAAACACGTATGGGCAGCTATGTAAAGTAGATAGAGCAAGGGGCTGAGATAGCGTCAGAAAGCAGCAGATTTTAACAGTCAGCAAAGTTGAAAAGGATTTTATGATAAAAAGATTGTTTCCAATTCTGCTTACTGTTTTCTTCTGCTGATCGAGATGTGTGGACTGTTTTGGCTTCAAAAAGATGAACAAACTGAAATTTTAATTTTAGACATGCTTCTTGCTTAAAGCAGTTGCTGTTTCCCCTAAAATTGTCTCGCTTCCCTTTACATAAGGTTTTGCACCACAGGGCTATTTCAAGATTCTTCCAGCAGCCGAGCAGCCTGGGTTGTGAGTGGGGCTATGCTGTGTACCCCTTCCCATCACAGCTTCTTAGGCAGCACGTTGTTCCACTTCCTTGGCTGTGTTAGCCACGAGCGAATGCTACAACCTACACAGGCCTATGGATTAACGTGGTTTAGTTTGTTGCTTGGTGGTTTGACACTCTCAAACTTGACAACAGCAGGAGGAAAATTGTCCCTTTTTTCTGGTTGTTCTCCAAGGTTGCTTCCTCTGTTTCTGCGCTCGGAGAATTTTCCTGGGTGTCCAAGAGCGTCACACAACTTTCAGGCTACTGAACAAACTGAGTGTGCTGGCCCCTAGCTCTTCTGTTGGGAAAGCTCAGTGACCTTTGCTGGTCAAGTTTTTTGCGTGTGTGCCTAGTTCAGCTTCATGTTTACTGTATTTTCATTTTGTATTGTTGTTACTGGTGTCACACGTGTGTGGTTGAGGGCGATCTGCATAATACAACGTACTTCTTTGTATTCAGCTGCTGGATGCTTGTTTAATGGCAGAGCCGAAACGCACACACACAACAGCTAAGAGCTCGGTGCTGAGCTTTGTGAGCTCCCCGGGCACCTGCAGCAGGGGCAGCTGGTTGAATCCAGGGAGCGTGAGATGGGCTCCAGACGGTGCCTGCGCCCGGGATTAAACTGGCTCCTGCAGCATCACCTTCACACACCTTGAGCCTGGGAAGAGGCGAAGGCCAGTGTCCTGTGCTTGGGAACCACTGAAAACTTACTCTTAAAGGCGTAAAGGAAGGGAGCGTGGGGGTGGGAGCCAGTGCAGGGAACAGCACCTTGCTCTGAGAGCTCCACTTAAGGGCAGGGAGTTTCTCTTTGTACCCGAGGAAAAAAGAGACTGGCAAGTTTGTTTCCATCCCAGTATCTCCTTTTCATTTCCATTTTCTTGGTCATACTCTTTTTTACAAGCTCTTAACTCAGTGGTTCCATTTAGACTAGAAGGAAAGGTTTAATTCAAATTATTCAGGGACTTCACAGGTTGTGTTAAACTTTTTGACTGCATCTGGCCCTCAAGGGTGTTAAAGTTTGGGGTTTTTTTAAATTAAAGAAAGGTTAATGAGTGGTTGACTTTCTTTAGTGGATACTCTTAAGATGAAGCCTCTCCAGTACTATAATTGCAGTAATATGGACATGCCCTCCCAGAAAGGCAATTACAAATACAGAGGATAGCACATAATGTTTGTTTTATAATCATAATGTTTCATTAGATCTTTGCAGGTTATGAATTATCTACCAGGTCGAACATAACAGTTAATTCTGATTACCACTGTCCTTGAATCACTAACACCCACCCTGAATTTGAACAAAACACTGTCTTGGAAGAATGGAAAGGTAGGAAAAGGGACTGCGTTGTGGTATCTTTTTGGTACTTAAAATGAAGCCTTTTAAAATAGATTTTAAATAGACTATGGATTTTTATACCAGGGTGGCATAACCCTTTGGATGGGCCTAGCTCAGCCCCTCTTGACTTCAAGGTGGGCAGAAACCAGCCCTGAGAACTGTGCCTGGAGTATTGCGACACCTTGTTATCACAGCCGTGACTTATACCTTGCACAGTCGTATTTTCAAAGCTGGAAAAGTGGCTCTGCTTTTCATTAAATTAATTGAATAAGCCACAATATTTAAATATAACATGTATTCATTAAAAATGGTAAAATCTGTGATGTTCTATTATAAGCTGTCAGATAGCACAGACAAGTCTGGCTTTCCAACATCAAGAGATGGCTCTGGCTTTGCTTGTATTTCAGACATCTCTCTTCAAGACGCATGGGTTTAATCCAGCTGCTGCGCTTGGCTAGGGGGGGTAAAGGACGACTCACCGCAAGAGATTTCCTGCTACTTTAACCCTGTGCCTTTACTTACTGGACCTCTAGATTTCTACAGCATGTCTAAAAGCCACACAAAAAGACAACAGGTTGTGTTGTTTTTCACCTCACAATCTCTGGGTCAAATGCAGGACTGTGTAAACAAACCGAGTTTGTAGTACTAAGAATAATGCGAAGGCGCTAACACTATCAGAACCCAGTTCGCGCAATCTGAAACACTACATTTGAACCCTTTCATCTAAAGTTTTTATTTGGCAGAACAAAGCAGTTGTTTGCCTCAAGTACAAAAATGCTACTGAGGAGAAAATCAAGCTGGTTTGGAATCTGTGAAGTTAGGACTTCTCCTCTGGATTCCACTCTGTCTGAATCATCTTACTTTTTAAATGGGTACATAGCTTGGCTTACGACGTTTTTGTTACGCAGTGGGCAAGAGTTCGCATTTCAAAAATCCCAGCACCAGCTTGCTCCCATGTTCTGACACTGCTGTCCATAAGAGGTAATTATGAAAACAAAGATAACCTGACAATCGTCACTTTTAAGCTGTGACCTTTTCCACTCATGTTAACAGAACATATATTTGCCATTCTAGAACAAAGATCTTTTTTTCCAATGGAATGAGGTGTTCGATAATAATTGCTGTTTCTTTTCTCCTCTCTAGTGTTCATAATGGCTTCTGGGCTTTTGGTTTACCCTTTTGGTTTCAACTCTGCTACTGTGAAGAGATTCTGTGAGAACTCCGACATCTACTATGCAGGAGACTGCCAGATTGGCTGGGGGTATATGCTGGCAATTGTTGGGGTCATGTTGTCTGTCTTTTTACCATTCTTTGCAAAATATGCACCAAAAGAGCACATATCTCCAACTCCAATACCTACTATTTTATAGTATTTTATTACTGTTTAAGAACAGAACATTCCTGTCTACAGGCAATGGGCAGAAATTATTAGAGCACTTCCATTTAGCTGTATTGCTAAAGAGAGAGAAGGAGATGGGGAAGAGAAGGTCAGACTCACAAAGACCAAAAGTGCATTGATAGTCTTCCGTAAGTATGAGCAGCGACACTCTGGAATTGAAATAAGATTAATCAGCAGCCTTTCTTCTGCTCTAAATGTATAGTGGCATAATGCCTTAGACAAAAAAAAAAAATCTGTTTATCCTCAAAACATCTGTCTACCTCCCGGTTTCTTTTGTCTCAAAATTGTAACTCTTTTAAAAGCTTCAATTCACTTTTTATACATTATTAAAACTCAAAACTTTTATGAACCCAATAATTTTAAAATTGATAATGATATTTTGTCACAATTATTTTGATTAAGTACCTACTAGTAGCCATGGCCTAAAATTAAGCTTGATATCTAAAAAGAATTGTATACAAGAAAAAGGTTTCTTCCTAATCTAGATGTATTCATAGCACCTGCGTATTTTACTTTGTCAGCACACTTTTTAATATTGACCTAATCTTCAGGATTTACACTCATCTTCATGAAGACTTGCCTAAAATTTAATTACTTTTTTTCAAAGAGAGAGATCTAACTACTTCCAAAGGCTTCATGTTGATTTAATAGTTAAACAGCAGGGAAAAAAAAAAAAAAGAATTTGGGTTTGGTATTTCTTAAATTATAATTTTAGGTGGACATTTAAGAAATTATTTGAACTATTACCACCTTAGGTTTTGGGGTTTGCTGTTTGTTTTTTTAAGGCTGAAAAGACAAATCCCTGTTTACAAAACTGTATGTGCCCGATGGCCCTTGTGTGCAGTGATAATCCAAGCCAGAATGAACCAGGTTCTAGTACTTCCATAAGAGCCCATTATTGTAAAAAAAAAGGGGGAAAAAACAAGTGAAGTGAAATGCTACTGGAGATGACTAATAAGAACCTGATGCTGTGTCAGAACCAGCAAATGGCCGTATTTCATGGCTTTGTATGTGAAATTTGTGAAGTCTGATTTCCACAATAGCACTGAATTCATTACTATCAGGCATTGAAATAAGTGCACTCGATTGCCTTAAGCAAAAGAAACATTGGGCTCTAATCCCACCCCACTGTTATGTCTTTCATTTAAAATAAAGATTGAACTCTAATTCTATTCTCATCTTTTATTTTCTATTATTTATTAAGAAAGAAATAATCGCATAGATGATATTTAATTCAGAGCTGTACTTTTTAGTTTTGTATTTCGGCACAAACCAAGTGATCAAATTTATTGTTCTTCACTTTGATGAGTCCAGCTGATTGCCGAATTATTTGTTTTAATGGAAGATGAAGGGACAGACAGAGACACGTTGAGGATGTATTAGAAATGCAAACAGATAGAACAATCACTGTGTTATTGTAATAAATGTCAACGACTTCTGCAGTCTTGTTTACATTCCTCACCCTTCTAAACTTCAATGGAACACTGCATTGTTTTCCAAAATAATTGCCTGTTGTTACATTTTCATGCACTCGAAAAGCAAATTATGCACATAAATTTAGCAACTTCCATTACTAATCATTGAAAATACAGATTTCAAAGAACACTGGGAAAGAGACAGAGCGCGTCTGCCATGCGGGTTTGCTCTCAGCAACTAAAGAATTAAATCTTCCAAATATTTAACAAAATAGGTTGAAGGAATGCCTCTCAAGTAAGAAGAATAAATTTCAGTCACTTCCGTGTAGTAATATACTTTTCAGTAATGTCTTACACTTTTTTTAACGAATGGCTGAAATTGATAGTTTTCATATAAGAGTCAGAAAAGTGAGGAATAACAAACAACATGCAAAAAGAAAATCGTCACCGCGAAGTAGAGAGACAGAGATGCAGGCTTTTCTTTCCTAACCAACCTGTGCCTTTACACTAGAACCATTATACAAGACAGGATCAATATGGTTTAAAGAAACAACCAACAACCGAAAAATGTTGAGTAATGTGTATAAGCTGTATTACGTAGGGTTTTTCTGTTCTGTGTAATGTTTACGACCGTTCACTCAATGTTTCACTAGAAAAAGTGATTTGTTAGTGTAAAGTAGAACACTTTTTTTTGCAAAGATCTAAACACTTACTGAAAATAAGATTATTTTAGATTTTTATTAACAGCCATAACACACCTACTAGACACAAATGACCTCTTCCTGTCACTACTTATTAACGTATCTTTCACACGTGCAGAACTGGAACCATCAATCGTTTGGCTGAAATCAGCAGGAGCACAGCATCTGGGTGACGCTGATGACATGCACAAATGCTTGCAGGTCTGGTCCCAGAGTTCAAGCTTCCTTTGTAGTTTGAAATTTCTGTCACAATGGAGTCTTACAATTTACAACACCACTGTACCAGACCCTTTACTTCTTAAAACTCAACTTCTAACTTCAACTTTGTGAACACTGTCAAGCTATACATCCTGCAATATTCTGCACCTTTTATGAGTTAAGGTAATACTTCCATTTGGAACTTACTTTAATATTTTATAATATATAAAGGAAATCAAATATATCTATAGGACCTCTACAGCTGGACAGACAAACCTCTACTTGAAACATCCATGCTCAGAACCAGCTTCAGACAGAAGGTAGAGATGATAATGCAAGTGACTCTTGCAGTTAGTAAAGCATATACTTTAGAGCCTCAACTAGAACAGTAAGGGGGTGTTGCTAACAATACATGTGCTAACACTGACAGATCACTTTTTTAAATAGTCTGTCTGCGTGTTATACTGTGTAAAAGCGTTTTCCTGTTACAGGTCAAAGGGTTTACTGGACCAGGTTCAAGTTTTATTCTAAATATATAATTTTTTAAGTGTAACTAAAAGCTGTATTTTCCATTAATGTGTTTCTGCATTGATTAGCTGGCTCCTTTTTAGAATATTAACTGTTTTCTGTATTTGACTTGTTGGATACAATTATTTTAAATGTGAAATTTCCAATTGCCAACACTGTATAATAAAATAAAATTTAAAAAAACAACAACCACCCACTGTTCACTATTTTTTGATAACTCTTTTGTTTTACAATTCCCAACAGATCTGGTACAAAGCTATTGAAGTAGGGGAACTAGGTAAGGGGAAAAGGAAATAGAAACAGCAG